ATAGAAAAATTAAGTAAATGAAAAGAAAGAATGATTCCAAAAAAACTACAATTTAGCTGGAAATTTTAAAGCAAATGTACAGTGCAGTATCTGTAGAATTGATAGATATAAAAACATACTTTTGGATTGCGTATCATTTCTTGTTCTTCTGATGCTGAGAGTGGAGTCATTGCGGAAGTGCTACCATTACTTTTAGACTTTCCCTCTCCTCCTCCTCCTCCTCCACCACTTGGCTTAGGAAGGGAGAGTTTAGTATTCAAGCTAAGCTGTTTCTTTGGTATGTGCATTTGTTTAGTGGCTTGAGCAAACACTGATTTAGTTTTATTAGCAAGCTAGAGGGAGAGAGAGAGGGGAAGAAAAATAAATTCTATCAATCCAAACACAATAGAAGGTAAAGATATTAAACAGTAATACTGTGACTCAAGACATTCTAAAGGTAATGAATGATATAGTTCATAATGACATTCAATATTAACATCACATGACTTCAAGTCACATTATGCTATAGCAGTAAGTAAAAGATGATGGTACACCTACATGATGTATTTCTCTTAGCTCTCCTCTCTGTCTCAGTCAAAGGACAAGTGGCTGTTTGGACTCAAATCCCAGGACCAAATAACTCATCAATGCATTCAGTTAGTGCTAATTCTCAATTCCTCTGGGGCATCAATTCAAAAAATGAGGCCATGTACTGCCTGAGACCATGCAAAGGAAACTGGATATACAGTACACCCAACATGAGGAGTCTCGATGCAGGGCCTGTTTATACTTGGTTCATAGGCTTAGATAACAATACATACCATGCTACAGTCAAAAAATCCAGCATAGCAAATAATATAACAGAAGCAACTGAGATAGCAGCAGGTGGTAACGGTTTTATTTGGTATCTTGACCAGTATGGGTACACGTGGAAGTGGAGCATTGGCTTAGAATATGCAGATTCTTTAAATGACAGGAAGTTCATTAATATTGCCGCCAACAGTGAGCATGTGTTTGGTATAGACGGTGAGGGAACAATTAATTATTGTGCGATTTTTGGCGGACCATGGAAAACCATACCAGGACACTTTATCAGCATGACAGCTGGCTCTCGGGAAATCTTTGCCATTGATAGAAATAACAGACAATTATACCGTTGCACTATACCCTGTGCTGAAAACTGGGAGGCAATGGAGTCTCCATCAAATGATGTGATCCAGCTTGATGCTACTATTGATGCACTGTTTGTTGTCAGTAGTAAAGGGGCTATATACCGCCATCATTTATCACTAATGTAATATAATTACAGTGTGTGCTTGACTGTTTGATATAGCTACAAGTACAGTACATTGCTGTTTTGTTTCATGCATGCTTAAATTCATAAAAATTTGCAAAAATTCAATTTTGGGACTTACTATACAACATAAGAACATGTATATGCATCAGAAAAATTATGAAAATGACGAATTCTCTCAGAGTCATTTTTGGTGAAATTTAGTGAAAGACCCTGTACAGGGACTTTGGCCCGATTTTTGAGTAACTTAAAAAATTCAAAAAATCCAATTTCGATTGGAATAGGGAATACATACATGTACATCATGTTTTATTAGTCATCATTATTGTTATCATTAAGTTTGCTAATGAACTGATACTATCAACGCATCACATGACTTCAGGTCACATGATACTAATATAAGCACTACTATATAAGGTATAAGACAGCTTAAGTAAAGATGAGCGTACAGCTACTTCTCTTAGCTCTCCTCTCTGTCTCAGTCAAAGGACAATTATGGATTCAAGTGCAAGGAGCAGGACCAGCTATGCATTCTGTTCATGCTAACTCTGAATTTCTCTGGGGTATCGATACCCTTAATTATGCTCAGTACTGCAAAAGGCCATGTAGTAGTAAATGGGAATACCGTACACACAACATTAGGAATCTTGATGTTGGGACTGACTTTACGTATTTTGTCAGCTTTGATTACAAGTTATACCGTGGTACAGCCAAAGAAAGCAATTATGAAATAGCAAATGAAGAAATAGGAACAACTGATGTAGCAGCCGGTGGCAATGGTTATATCTGGTTTCTTGATGCTGATAATAACATACGTAAGTGGAGTACTAGTTTAGAGTCTGTAGAATCATCCATTGATGGGAGGTTCATTAACATTGCTGCCAACAGCGAGTATGTATTTGGTATAGACTACAGTAATACGATTAATTATCGTCCAATTTTTGGAGGTGAAGGACCTTGGGAAACCATCCCTGGACAGTTTAAATGCATGACAGCTGGTGCTCGAGAAATATTCGCAGTTGGATACAATAACACTCAAATTTTTCGTTGTACTATACCATGTATTGGAAACTGGGAGAAGATGGAGTCTCCAGCATCTAATGTGGTTCAGCTTGATGCTACTGTTGATGCACTATTTGCTGTCACTGGTGCAGGAATCATATACCGTCATGATCTACCACTAATGTAATACTATAACTAACTGTGTGCCATTGACTAGTTGATAGCTAATATCGCTGTGTTGTTTATGTACCCCCTTTTAATAACATGAATGTAATAACAATTCCACGCTTATATAACTCTACTATGACTACAATGTAGAATACAAATAACCATATAAACTACATTATACATGCACATACATAGCTAATATTACTATTAGTATCTTTTACTCAATGTTGCATGCATAATCTCATTATACTTACTTTATGCGACATCTTGACTACTTCCGGTGGTGAGCGGTCTTCTTGAATATGTAGCTGGTTAGGAGAGGGCGTGTGCATATCTTCGTTAATTTGTGTCCACTCCCTAACATGAGGGACTGGGTCAGGATACCTAGCCTGCATAAAAGAGAAAGGGGAAGGAGGAGAGATATAAAGTGTGAGTAGTATGTAATCTTACTGGATTCCTAAGATGTAGTGCCCTTTGAACTAAGTCAGATACCTCAAACCACGGAGGGTACTTCATTAAAAGCTGCATACACGTACTGTAGTCATCTGTTAATACTGTACAGGGAATATAATAATAATAATAATAATAATAATAATAATAAATATAATAATAATAAATATAATAATATTAATAATAATTATTAAGAATAACGTATGTCTTATAATAATAATAATAATAATAATAATAATAATAATAATAATAATAATAATAATAATAATGTTATTTATCCGTATTAAAGTCTCATAGATTATTTAATTTGCTTACAAGTATCTCTTATTAGTGTAAGCATGGTAACAAAGACATAGTCCATTAGGCCGAGTGAGTTCCCTTCAACAAACAAGGCATCCCATAACTGAAGCATACTAGGAAGATGAAACTCTCGTCCAAATAATAATCTAATCCACCGACTGCGAGACAAAAAGAGAGAGAGAGAGAGAGAGAGAGGGTGGGGAGAGATAGTGAAAGAGAGAGTAAGATTAAATGATAAAGACTATGAGTAGCAGATTAAACATTAGATTACAAGTACATGTACATATATACTGCGTAGTACAATAACAATGTACTATCAAAGGATAACAGTATTCATTCATTCATTTCTTACATTCCATAGGTCTGTGGAGGGATACCAAGATCCCTCAGTCTGTAGTACAGCTGCTCATCGGCATTCTTTAATAAGACGTCGTGGATCTTATCAAGCTTCCTTGCAATTGATGAAGTCTAAACAAGACATACATGTAATAGCCTCAATATGAAAAGAAAAACGGTCTTAATTTTTATTCAGTATTTGATGAAGCTGACATACATGCACAGTAGTGACAGTACATGTACATGTACAGAGTAAAATAATACACTAATATCTAAGGCTTACTGGGAGGTAGACTTCATCGGATTCGAAAGGTTTTCTGACGTGTCTGTTGCTATTCTTCTGTTGCCTTGCTCTGATAATGTCGGACTCTAAGGAGGCACTGAGGAAGAAGTGCTGCATACCCTCCATGAGCTCTGAAAAGAGAGCACTGAAGAAAAGAAAGAGGAGGCAAGTAAAGAAGAGAGAGAGAGAGAAAGGGATAAAGAATGTTTAAAATAAACATCAAAATTTGAATAACCAAAAGTGGTACGTAATATACAAAGAGAGAATGAGAGGGAACAGCTCCCAGTACAGTAATCGGACAACCCCCAACAGACATTAATATAGAGAGGCTACAATGTGAATACACAGTGTTAACTAACAAGGCATCAGCATCAATGCAGGCAGGGTCCATCACCACCTTTAACGCAGGACTAAAAAAAATAAAATCAATCTTAAAACTATCTATAATTATACAGTTTCTACCTTAGTGAATCGTCATTTTGCACATCGTCTCTGCTCTCAGCATGAAGGATGAAAAGAATTGGAGCTAAGAGTTCGTGCATGCCTTGTCTATAGCTAATGTCAGGCTCTTCTTTGGCATAGCAGAATAAAATATCTAACATACTGTTCCTGTAAAATAAATAAATAAATAAATAAATAATAATAATAATAATAATAATAATGATAAAGCGTTTTGCAATTGAGAACAATTGCTGCCTGTACATGATATGGTAGCAACATCTACATGCATGTACATGTAATAGATTTGCTGTCCTTATGCTATGTAGAGAGTTAATAGTCAATTCTGGTTACAATTTTTTAAAGTTATGGGCATCTAAAGAGCTAAATAAACAAATCTATTATGCGTGTATTTCTAAAATTGGTACTTGCTATTTTAATGCCAATGCCAAATTGTTTGACCCCATCCATAATACATGTACATATGTACATTGTACTAAAGATTCCAGTAATGTATTGAATTTCTTTACACTATGTCTTCCATCACTGACCCCCTCTCTATCTACTGTTGTCCCCTTTCTCTCTCTCTCTATCTACTGCTTGCCCCCTTTCTCTCTCTCTTACTGGATGTCTTGTTGTCTAAAGAACATCTGATCGGGATGAGTTCTAACAATATCCTGAGTGATGATTTGCTTTATCTCTCCATCTTGAAAGTACTGGTTCCAAGGGCTCTGTGACACAAAGCAATAATATGTAAAAACAAACAAATGAAATAAAAGAGAAAGTAATAAAATAAGAAGAAAGTGACTGACATCTTCTTCAAGTGAGAGAGGATTATGAACATTTAGATCTAGCGAGGCCTCAACATCTTTATGAGGATCAATCATATACTACATAGAGAGTCAGAGAACAATAGAAATGAAATAGAAAAGTAGAGAAAGTACAAACCTTTTGCTTCAAGGCTGCATATTTCTCTCGTGATAAGTTTGATGCTTCTATCCACTGGCTCTGATCTTCAGGTATGACACCAAGAAACAGCTAAAGTAATGGAGGAAGGTATACATGTACATGTACATGCAGAAGTATAGAGAGAGGGGGGGCATTATGTAGTATATGCATGTTTGCTGTATTCTTTTTCATACCTTCCAGCAAATCGATCTTAAATTAGACCGCTGTAGCTCACCGGAAAGAGCAAACTGTTTTAACTGAAAACATAAACAAAGAAAAATTAATTATTGCTATCGTTGGCAGTAAAGGGGGTGGAAAAAAATAAAATAAAAACAGTAAATATTAGCAACGTAATTACCACTTTGAGGTAGCCATCTTGAGAAAACAATTTGTACCAGTCATCCCTAGAAAAAAGGAGGAGAAAGGAGCAGAATGAACTGATGAAGAGTGGAATATTTTGACGAGTTACCTTGTGTAGTGGTAATTATCTGTTGTGTCCACATCTACGGGGGCAGGTTCTCTTGTGCTTGTATCTTCCAGAGTGACTGAGAGGAATCCTGGAGGTCTATAGTTATGCTGGAAACATTACAATTCCTAACCTTCTTCAGCTTCAGTCATCTTCAAAGAATCCGGAGTCTCGACTATAGAATACGGAGGAAGACGAAAAATCACTTAAAAGGGTGGAGCTTGCTGAACTAGAATTTCAAATTTCAATTTTAAAATTAATTACTTCCAGAATTCATCATGTACAATGTTGTATTATAGCTTTCTGTACACAATGTCTTAATAATTAGAAACTGATATTCATTTATGATAATAATAATAATAATAATAACAATAATAATATTAACTATAAAAGTTAGGTTGTCATGACGATCCTGTTCCCGTTCCTCCAGTTAGAGTATTCGTTAACCTAAAGAACCCAAAAGTATTCCCAAGGAGTCACGTGAAACCTTACCAGTCCATTGCTTCTTCTAGCCCATCACCCTTTAGTGCTGATGTTTTAAAAATGGCCCAGGTTCTGCTCTTGAGTGCTGAAAGACCAAGAGCTGTTGAGACCTCTGAAGGCGACATGGCTCCCTCCATATCCTAAAAACAACAACAAAGAACAACAATAATAAACAAGAATTATAATAATTTCATACTTGTTTATTAGCGAATACTAATAAAATTGCGTCTTTTAATTCTTCCTCCTAATGGAAAACAATTGTTGTAAAAACACTTCTTTTTTGTTTAAATATTCCATCCTCTCATCTCTTACTTTCTCTCTCCCCTCCTACTCTCTCTCTATATTACTTCTACTTTCTAGACTCTTACCTCTAACATGCTCACGAGCTCAGACTTTGAGATGGCGATCCTTTCCCTATCACAACTATCAACTACATAGATAATGGCATCAGTATTGGAGTAATAGCATCTCCAGTAAGGTCTAAAGAGTTGTGTGACATACAATCATAATGTGATTCATATAGTTCAACCGACCTTATGCTTGTTTGTCCCCCTAGGTCCCATACTATGTACATAAAGTATTAATAATGTCATGGAAAGGGTATATATACATATGTAGTATTATGTACCTTGAAACTTTAGGTTTTTATATGTCACTGTTTCTACATTGAAACCAATAGCTACAGGAGACAGATGATAGACAGGGAAAGAAAAAAATACATTATATGAGCGTATCATGTGAAGGTTTATTAGTTATTAGTACATGACCACATGGAAATCCCCATCAATTACCAATATTATTGGCATTTTAATTTTATTATTGTATTATAATAACAAACTAACTATTCCCTCTACATAACGTCTCACTTGGTATTGTTGTTACTACTTCTCCAACTTGTAACCTATATATATAATACAATAATTATGTCACTGGATTAAAATGATACAAGGCCTCACCTGTACAGTATGGTGGTTTTTCCAGCTCCATCAAGGCCCAATATTAGAATTCTAGTCTCCTTGGTGCCCCACAGCCTAGAGAAAAGGCTAGAAAAGACTCCACCTGAAACAAAATAGGAAAAATGAATAAAATCCATGTAGTTACACTCACCCATTGATAGCAAATTATATTAAATGCACTTTAATTAGAAAGAGTTAAAATTTCAGTCGAGGGCATTATTTGGAATTATTAATGAGTCGATCATCACGGGGGCAATAATTGAAAATATTGTTAGGCGAATGGGCGTTAATTGGAAATGGGGAACATGCCTTCATAACCACCGTCCCCCTCTCTCCCTCTTCATTTACTGTTACTCTAAAGAGCACATTCTAGTTATCTGAACTGAAGAAAATGAGCGTGTCTCCCGAGGCAAAGCTCCTCTGCGTCCCGTACAAAGAAGGCTACAGCCCCGAGAAGATACGGAAAAAGATACTGAGAAGACTACAGAAGTTAGAGAGAAAGTCCACGCCCAGTGCATACGTGAAGTCCCTCCCTGGTGTCCCAGCAAATGAAGTACTGAGCATCGTAAGCAACTCCAAGTACATAGCATGTCTGCTTAAAGATGGACGTGCCTGTAGAATGAAGGTCTCCTCTTCGTCGAATCTAACAATGTACCAAGTTCCGCCCGATTTTAAAACGGGCGGAGCAAGACCTGGTGGACCTGAGAACAGCCTACAGGTTTTATCGGATGCTGAGTATGCACGTAGGCTTCAAGCCCAGTTCGATCAAGAGAGGGATTTTCGTCCTAACAGCAGGATTGGACGCAGTGATCTTGACATCCTGCGTGGTTTGAACAGCTCGCCGTTTTCTGGGATCCCCACACTCACTTCCATCGCTTCTCCTCCTTCCTCTTCCGCTCAACTGAACACAAACTTCACGTCATCATCTCCCACTCCAGACTTCACCGCCATCAGTAACCCCGCCTACCTCCCCGCCTCTGTTACCTTCCTTACGACCGGCTCCGGTCCGTCCGTCGTCGCTGTGCGTACCTTTAGACCGGTCGACGGTGCATCGGTTGCCTCTCATTCCGTCAATAACGATCTCATGGATGACAGGGACATTGGCGATAAGGCTCGTGATGATGAGGGGGCGGCCGGAGGGGGAGGGGCTGGCTCTGACGCTGCCTCTGGTGCTGCGGCCGGGAGGAAAAAGAGAGAAGAGGTGTGGCCACAAATGGGGGAACTGGAGTGGATGATTGTGAAGCAGGTAAGACTAATCATGAGATCTCTTGAAATGTTAACCAATAATTTTTGCTGACTTTATACGGTTTGCATCACATGTACATCTAGCTTTAATCACACACATATAAACATAATATATAAAATTAGTGTAGTTTATCACTTGCTTATAGGATTTGGTTACAATCACACATGTTTTGGTGTGTGACACGCAATTGAACATGATTTTACACCTGTAACGTACTAATGTGTGTATTGTATCTAGTCTGCTAGTTTTGTAGTCCCTGTGGTAAGACTGTTGGAACTGAACCTTCATTTTGTAGTGAATATGAAAATGCAGATCTGTACCACATTCAGTACAAAGCATGTGTACATGTAGTGCATAATTTCTATGAGTATTACATGTAGTTGTACATTTATGTTTACATGCTGTGTGGAGGTGACATTAATTAGTAGTAGATTAATGTGTGTGATAAATCATGCATTTCATTGCTTCATTTGAGTATCTCTCTAAATTTATAACTGTTACTATTATTAGAACTCTTTCGTTGCTATTTTTAGAATCCCGAGTCTCTTGGTTCCGATAATCGATTCGTCTCTATCGCTGCTCTTCATTCAGAGATACTGCTAGTAGGCGGGGCATCTGGTCAGTTATATTCCTGGCCTTGTGACGAGGGTGTGGTCAATCCACAGCCACACCCACTTACAAGAGAACTTGGACTCGCTAGCGAAAGGATTTCCTTTCTCTCCTCGAGCGATATTCGAGCATCAATCATAACTGAATCAGGAGGCGTGGCTACATTTTACGATCAACTTCTAAGAGGTATTATAAGCATGTAAATGTATGATAAAGTTCCCATTTGGTAATTCGTACATTGTATCCCTTATATTTACAGGTGGGATTTGAAGAGTTCATTTCTTCTTTTATTATGTCTTTATATAATAATTAAATTAATTAACATATTTCTGTTATTACTAGGTTGCTCTGAAGCAGGTGCTCCTCCATTGGTCAGTTCTCTCTCTCATTCGCTTACTTTTCCCTCAGAATTCACAACCGATTCAATCTCGTCTCTCTTTGTCTCTGACTTCCTTACCTACGTCATTACCAATGGAGGGAAAGTCTACTGGTGGTAAGAGTACTGTCATTATTATTATTATTATTAAATATTATATAAATACATGTACATTATAACTGGTATCAGTTGATGTGGAGTACAACAATGTACATGCATGACAATTACAATGATGATAGAGTCATTTTCTAGGGAATTTTGTACACTTGGTAGTAGTAGTTTTTATAATAATTGTTAAAATTCCCAGAATGTCCATGTCCAATTGTAAAAAATGAAAATGCTTATCTTTTCTCTCCTTTCTTCTTTCCTGTTCCTCCTCTTTTTTGTCCTCTCTCTCTCTCTCCTTTTCATGTCACTTCTTTCTCTCTTCACTAGGGGACTCTGTCCTCAAGTTAAATCTTCTTCTCCAGCATCATCTGATGCTCATTCTTCCTCTGCAGCCTCTTCCATTGTTGAGGGCTCTTTGGTACGCCTAAAGAACGGTCCACCTTGCGGTCCTAATGCCCTCGTCCTCCATTGCTCCAAGACTCACGGTCCACGTGTGGGTCAGACCGTTAATATAATTGAAAAGGGCAGCATAGACCCAACGACCAGCGTATTGGTAAAGATATTAAAGCAGATGGTTCAAGAAGGCGAGGATGGAATGGGTAAGGTCCAGCAGTACGAGTCTCTTGAAATATGGAAGCAGTCCGATGTTGTTTTTCTTGATGATTCTCCTGCCGTTCTTGGTAAGGTTGTGGCTGTGGATAACAACCAGGCAATCATTGATGTTTCTTATGCCCAGCATACTGACATACAGACAACCTCTAAGCCTCAGAATTCGCTCAAAGTTTATCGACTTGCCGAGCTCTCTCTTTGTATGGGTGTTGAAGCAACCGCTAATGCGACCGTGGAGGCCACACCTACTTCTCACAGTCAGCCGGTCAGTCGTCACGTTGCCGGTATCGTTCAACACGCCCCCGTGTGCATCCTTGACCCTGCCCCTCTCCCACCCACGTCCCTCCCTCCCATTATTGACGACAGTATGGGCGAGACTAAAGGTCCCTCAATGCTGAGAGGATTCCTTCCTGTAGCGCTCCACCCGACCAACAGTGGACCATATCTACTCATCAAGAGGATCGAAGATGATCAAACATTCTTTGTGTGTACTTCGGGCACGTCCTCGGGCTTGATTCAAAGTTCGTCTTTCGTTGCTACGGGTGGGCGAGACACAAAGCCTCAAAAATGCACGCTAGAGGAAGAGAGTTGTCACGCTTACGAGTGTGCTCTGGAGGCTTGTCCCAGTCTTTTACCTGCTCCCACTGAGAGGGCTGTCCCTAAGCATGCCGGGAGGAAGAGGAGAAGGAAAGGAACTCAAACGAGTAATAACGAGACACTTTCTGTTCCTACTCCTCCAGTTCTTCATAAAACAGCTTCAATCATTGACATGTATAACTCTGAGGTTCTCTGCATTAAGGACGTTCACGGTGTTCTCATTCCCATTCCGCCCGGACTCAAACTCAAACCGGATCCTCCTCGGTACCTGGATCATCTTGCTGGCTGGTTTCCAAACAGTGATCCCGTGCTCTATAATTCTTATCATTCTCTGATGTCCCGTCAGTATATGCTCAATAAAAATAAGAACATGATCATGTTGCTAGTTGGTAAGCTACCAGATGATCCAGTAAAGTAATGTACATTGTACACATAATAGTTTATCAGAAATAGCTTTGACAAATGGTCACACGAACCCCCAATTTTTATGACATTTTTGAGCCAGTTCTTCTTACGTTTTATTTATTAATTTTTATCAGCTAGTACATGTAAATGTATATAGTGTATAAACCTACATGTATGTACATGTACACGTACATGTATTTTTTCTAAAAATTGTCTTTGAATTCTTTCTCCTCCCCTCTCTCCTGCAGTTCCCATTAAACAGACCCTGTTGCCTTCAGTAATGAAAATTGATACGATTTCCGTTGAGAGAATAGTCCGCTCTATCTCAAACACCACGCCCCCAACTGACCACTCCTCCTCGTCTCCCCCAACAACTAATGGCGGAGACAGTCCCCCAGCACCAAAGAAGCCAGCCCTGGAGCCTGTGGCCGACGTTGAAATGATGGAATCAAAAACCTCTGAACTTGAGCCGTCCTCGATGAACGTTGATACCGAGGATTCCAAACCCTGTTCCAGTCCTGGTATGGGTCTGAGTCTCTCTCCTTCAGTATTGTACGAGTATACTGCTCACAATTATAATGTGATGCACGTTTGTGTGGCCAGGAAGGACAGGGACGATGATGGATCCAATAAGCAATTCATACCTTATAAAGGTGAGGGACTAGTGCCATTAAAATTGAACATTAATAAAATTAATGTACTAATGTACATATGCACAATGTACATGTACATGTATATGCTACATAAAACACATGTACATGTACATGTATCAGCGCATTGTCATTCATACATACATGTAAATGAACTATGATTCACAAAATACAAATAACATTGAGTGTACATGTACATTTTCTATTAATTTTTCCTGTATCCTTTCCACAGGTGATAATGGAGCTAATTATCAGAGTCTCACAGCTTACCCAGAGTATCGTGACACCAGTTTTGAGGAGCTGAGGACCAACTACTACAATAAAGGAGGAGGCTATGAGATATCCCCCGACATGAAGAGGGATTTCCAGGACCTTGCTTATGCTCAGGTCATGATGCTGGACACCTTCCTCTCTTCTGAGACCATCAGGAATGACGTCATTAGACTGGTGAGTCATGCATGTACAATGTGTAGGTTAATTTTTGAGTAACTTAAAAAATTCATAAAAAATCTAATTTTGATCAGAATCAGCTCAAACTTGCTACACAACATAAGAACATGTATATGCATCAGAAAACATTATAAAATTAAAGAATTCTCACCTAGTCATTTTTGGTGAAATTTGGCCAGTGACCCTGTACTATAGTACAGGGACTTTGGCCCGATTTTTGAGCAACTTTAAAAATTCATAAAAAATCTAATTTTGATTGGAATCAGCTCAAACTTGCTACACAACATAAGAACATGTATATGTATCAGAGAAAATTATAAAAATGAAAAATTCTCTCTGAGTCATTTTTGGTGAAATTTGGCCAAATACACTGTACTATAGTACAGGGGCTTTGGCCTGATTTTGAGCAACTTAAAAATTTTTTTAAATTAATTGTCTTTTTATTTGTTTTTCTTTTCCAGTTACGTCAGAAGAATGCTTTTGGTGAGACCCCATTCATGACAGCCATTGCCTATCAGAATTTCACCGGAGCCTACAAGATACTAGTCTTCATAGATGAGCTGGAATCATCCTCTGTCTCCCCCTCCCCCCTCCTCACTGAGGCCTGTCTCTCCAGAAACAGAGCAGGCATGACACCAGTACAACTCTTCTTTGCTAGCTACAGCACTTGCTACGACATTCAACAGATGAAGCTCTACATATCAAGTCTCCCTCTCGGCTACACTGCTCAGCAGCTCCTCTCTCTTTTTAAAGAGTTCTATCCGTCCGTTTATAAAGCCGAGATCACTCGTGATTATGATGACGATGATGTTGTTGATCCGCCGGACGAGGCCAGTGACCCGGAGTCGGACGACGGAGGAGAGGGTGGGGAGCAGGGTGCACCTGCTACTGCCAGCGCTCCTCCTCGTGTTCCTCAAGCACAGAGAAGAGGGACTAACTTACATGCTACACCTTTAATGGATAATATACCGTTCCGTGGTATGGTCTACTTCAGTGATATTTATCAGCTAAGAGCAGCTCATCTCGAGATGCAGGATTTCAGAGTCTTTGCTAATTATTCCAATTCCCGTGCTGGTAGTTTTGGTCAGGCTCATTCCGTTAGTTTTCTTGCCGTTGGATTGGAGCCTGATGAGGCGTGCGAGGAGCAAGGAGATACCGACGGGGCTTTCCCCACTCTACTGGACGTGGGTCATGGGGTAGTGTCGAGGGTAACGCCTGCTAGACGCTCAAGAACTGGAGGGCTGAGAGTTGGTTGGGGTACCTCTAAACCTCCTCCTAATGTTGAAGCAAAGAAAGAACTTAGAAAAAAGGTTAATTTCAATGCATGCATTGTGTACTTGGTAATGCAATGCTGGAAATAAAATTATTTTGAGAAATGAAACTAGCTTGCACGAACATTGTACTACATGTACATCTACATGTACATGTATGTGTAAAATGCAATAATTGGTTTATTTTCAATTTAAGCATCTCAAAGATTATAAAGAAATTCCTAAATCTCCATTACTTTATTTTACTTTATTTTTGCATCTTCTTTATAGAGAGCCTCGGCAGGACTCAGAGAAGCTTGCAATATTTTATGTTCCTTTCTCTCAAGGACCGAGTTTGCTACAGCACTGGATAAGAATGGTGAGTCAGTCCTAGCCTCGCTCATTCACAATCAACGTTGTGTCGATTTGTTCAAGTACCTCTCCTGTGCCCCTTCTTACCCTCGCTATCGCAAGCCACTCATTCCTTCTAAGCCGGAAATACCCTTCAATGAGCCACTAGAGCTCGTAAAATCTGACACGCCCACTTCCGATAAACCCGAAGACCCTGAGAATCCATCTTCTAGTCTGTGGAGACCATTTGGGTCCGAGCCCACGCCAAAGACTGTCGTCTTGAGTTTCGGAGAAGGAGCTGCTGCTTTTACCGAAAAGTCCGAAACTCTTCCCTCGTTTACAATTGAGACTTCAGTACAGCCTCCTTGCAAGAACTATGACACTTGTTTCTTACACGGTATTGATCATTTGAACGGCTACGATCTACTCCACAATACCTTCATGACCTGGCCGGCTCAGGTTACGACTGTCTTAGGCTTCAACGCATTCAAGCACCATGATACTTGGCCAACCCCAATATCAGTTCAGAAGCTCGACTGTTTCGTCAAGCGACTCCTTGTAAGCAACGAAAACAGCTTTGCAACTGCTTTTTTGTACACCATGAGTCAAAAGATTAACGCTCTTTTGGTGGAGGGAGTTGATATCCTCCCTATCTATGAGAAGGGTGGTAATCTTGATGGTATGAATGAGAAGAACCTCCCTATGTATGTGGCTGTGAGATACCTTGGATCGCTGGTTAGAGCACTGTCCCTGGAGCACAGTAGGGTGAAGGGTACACTGGTCGAGCTCCCTCCTAGCAGAGAACTGCCTGACAGATTGAGGAGTCAAGAGATTAAAGGGAAACTGGTTCATGAGACTATGAAGTAAGTTATTATTAGGAGAGAAAGGGAAGGACTGAGCATATACATACACTACATGTATACATGTACAGTAAAGATATCATAACATGGAGAACTAGTGTCTACTCAAAATAATTGAATTAGCATGTACACATACATGCAGTTACAGTAACACCTTAGTTTTGTACATGTATTCATGTATAATATGTTCCAATGTTTAGAGTTTAGACTTGAGTTGTTTTTCATGTTCATGTATAGTTTCATTTTATTTGTTTTCTTTTCATTTTCCTTTACCTCTTCCTCTTTCTCTCTCTAGAAAATCCCTCACTTCCTTTTCGTGGCTTGCCATTGAGGCAATGGCCAAAGCAGCAGAGACAGCATGTCTGCCGGTCAGGATGGGCGTGGCAAAGCCTTTTGGAGCAAACTCTGTGACATGCGAGTACCAAACATCAACAAGAGCCTCATCCTCATCTCGTGCCGTGGGAGACAAGAGCAAGCACAGGAGCCTTGCACAACAGTTCCACATACGGACAGCAGTTCGTAACACTGAGAACTCAGGGAAGACATCTTCAATATCAAGTCTACCTGAGTTAGGTATTAGACTAGTACCGAGACAGCATGTGAACCAGTCAGGACAGGGAGAGGAGCACGAGGAGTTTGGTATGGATCTGTCGGACTCTGAGCTCCCTGGATCAGAGTTAGGTAATGATAGTTTTGATGCTGCGAATCAGCGAGGGAACCAGTCAAATTCGAGGATGTATGGGACTCAGCTTGACCTCTACGAGCACGATACCATGTCTCTCATTAACAGCAGTAGCTCAGAGGACGAGGACGACCCATTTGCCGATATAATGGACGGTGGGTTAGGCACGCACCGTGGACGAAGGGGAAGGAGAGACGGAGATGATGGGATGGACGGGATGTACCCATACGCCTGGGCCCTTGATGGACGGAGGATAGGGGAGAACACACCTGTTGTGAGACCCTCTTCACCTACTTCAAGCTTTGTAAGTAAACAGTCTGTATAGTACGTAATTTGTATTTTAAAAATATTATAATTAATAATGTACATGTACTATACATATTGCATTATTTTTTAATATTTTATTTTATTCACAGTTTGGTCAGACGGAGATAACCACGCCCCTCAGCACTATCCCCAGCATTAGATTTGGTTCTGGGTTCCTTGCTCGTACTTTTGCTCGTATTATAAAGGACCTCGTCCTCATTGTAGTCAGACTCTGCACAAGCAAAAGACCACCACTGGTAAAGAGAGAGAGAGAGAGAAAGAGAGAGATTACTACTACTAGATATTATTAGACTACCGTATAGCTGGTTTATTTCGTGTGGAATTAATTTTCGTGCAGGCTCAAATCCACTAAAATTAATTCCACTAAATTTTATTAAAACCAATTAAATATTAACAAAAATTTAGCAAGGCACTAAAATTAATTCTAATGAAAATTTAAGCAACAAAAATTTGAGGCCACAAAATAAACCAGCTATACGGTATTAGATATATACATGTACATGTACATGTACATGTATATGTACATGTAGATATTACTATTATCTACTGTTAGATATTAGGTGCTGTTGTTATACTGTATGGCTTATTGTACATGTAATAGCAATCTACATTGTATTATGAGAAGATTAAGAGCTACATGTAGATTGAGCTGAATACTTTGTTACTATTACCATTATGTGCTTATACTTTCTTTCTCTCTATTAGTATTTAATGGAGTTGCCCCGTCATACTATTCAGAAGTTACTCCAGTCAACTCTGAACACGCTAGAGAAGACTTGGTCCTGGGTAACTGATGTACTGGACGTTGCTGAAGGACAACTGCACCAAGGAAAATCCTTTGATACACAAGTAATTTACTAATAATATACTAGTAGTATACCAATAATATACTGATAGTATACTAACGAATGCATATACATATAGTGACTATAAAGTAAAGGAGTTTTAAATAATAATGTATTTTAATGGTTTGTAAGTAGTTTACTATAGTTTTACTGATATTGATAATTTACTAATAATTTACTGATAATTTACTAATAGTTTACTGGTTTAATTTTTATTTCTTACTATAGCGTTACGTTGCCACATTGAGAGGTAGTATAAGAGCCTTATCATCATCAGCTTCACCCTCAGTTGTTCAGAGGATAATAAACAGAACGGCAAATAAAAGTTTCATTGGTTCCACTCCAGGGGAATACATGGCATATCTACTGCAGTGTCAGGCCAAGGGGAATAATGAAGGAACTATACCTGTCATTGATTTATATGGGTAAGAGTCTACTGTACCTGTACAGTAAGGTGGGGAAATGGTGAGAAGAATACAATGTAAAATATACATGTATTTGTATTTACTTTGTGTGAAAAGTTTTAGCTGATTTTGATCGAAATTGTTTTTTTTAAAGTTGCTCAAAAATCAGGCCACAGTCCCTGTACTATAGTACAGGGATTTTAGTCAAATTTCACCAAAAATGAAAAGTAGAGAATTCTCCCATTTTTATAATTTTTTTCTAATACATATACATGTTTTTATGTTGCATAGCAAGTTTGAGCTGATTCTAATCAAAATTAGATTTTTTATGAATTTTTAAAGTTGCTCAAAAATCGGGCCAAAGTCCCTGTACTATAGTACAGGGATTTTAGCCAAATTTTGCCAAAAATGAAAAGTAAAGAATTCTCCATTGTTATAATTTTTTCTGATCCATATACATGTACTTATGTTGCGTAGAAAGTTTGAGCTGGTTGTGATCAAAATTGGATTTTCTGTGAATTTTAAAAACTCCATGCTAATCAATGTTGAATATTTTCTATTAATTTTTCTCCTAGTTATGAACATGTGGTATACATTCTTGATGCACTTCTCTATACTCTTGGTACGTGGCCGAAACCAGAGACACAGTTCATCCTTAAAGACCCTCTTTCACCAGAAGAGCAGAGAGCCCTCGACGAAAAGGAGAAACAAGAGAGAGAAAAGAAGGAGAGAGAGGAGAGGGAGAGGAAGGAGAGAAGAGAGAAGGAGAGAATCACAAGAGAGAAGAAGATCAAAGAAGGTCGTGACCCTGATGAGATTGACCTCTCAGAGCCGCTCTTCATAAGAACGGAATCAGAGGACGAGCGTACTCAGAGATACAACGCTGAGTTCTTTCGTACGGCCTCAAGTCCCGTGGCTCCAAAAGGTCCTTTTGAAGAGGCCTTCCCTCTCGCTAAACAGCCTCACTTGCTCCAACCATACGCTTTGAAAGAGCAGCTGTTTGCTAGCAATCAAGATCAGGAGATGAAGGACGAGGATACTCCTGACACATCATCTCTCCCTGTCTCATACTTACTACTACAAAATAGGTATGATACCACAATGATAGTCTATAATGTACATGTACTGAATGCACAATTATTGTGATTAAAATTAAAGATTTATTTCACTGTTGAGTCTTTGTTATATTGTGTATTTTTCTATCTAATCCAGAGAGATCCCTCACCCCATCACTCTCTCATGGACTATGGATGATGCCCTGATAAGATGGAACACTTCAGTCAGTGTCTTTGCTCACATATTCCTTGCTGAAGGCCCTGGAAGTGAGAGCTGTAATTTCCTTGACACTAGAGCTGGGTTTGCTAGTCGAATGGCGAGATTTAGACATCAGGTTAAATGCATCTCCCTCACTTTTGTCTTTCTTGTGTTATTCTATTATTTTAATTGTCTCTTATCAATTCTTTTTTAGGTGTCTCAGTTATTTGAGTCCACGCAGGGCGGGAGGAGTGACTGGGCCTCTGTCTCTAACACTCTCTCGATTCGAGTTCGTCGCGATCATCTCTTAGAGGATTCACTAGAGTGCCTCGGACATGTGAGTGTTGACTCCACCCATCAATTAACTACGTGTGCTTGTTATTCATTTTGTAGCTCACCAAGTTTCATTATAGTCAAGTGAGGGTTAAGTTTGAAGGTGAGGATGGATCTGGTCCCGGAGTCAATAGAGGCTTCTTTGCATCTCTTGCTAATGCACTCAAGAACAGCGACATGGTTAGTGTATGTTACTATTAATAGAACACGGCTACTATTAATAAAACGCAGTTACTATTGATAAAATTGGACTTGATGTACAGTGCTAAGCAATAATCATTTTAGTAATAATTTTTATAGTCATTGTGTCTCCTTTTTTTAATGCTCTGAAATCTGAGTCTTAACTATTTTTTCTTTATTTTCTATCATAGAGTGTTCCACCATGTAACAAGCTAGGCGGTCTGTTCTATCAGCCTGGTAAAGAGCCAGAGCAGTCCGGACTCTATTCTCCTCTTCCTCTTGTCCTTCATCCAACAATGTCTTCAACAAAGTCGTCGATTCTTCGTAGCCAGAGGTCTAGCTTGTTCAGAGCCATCGGCCGGTTTTTAGGTCTCTGCTTCTGGTTCAAGCACACCATACCGTTCATGCTCTGCCGCCATGTTTGTAAATACTTATTGGATAGGTGAGAGAGAGTAAAAAAAGAGCATTATTTGATATTTTTATTGTATATTATTCTTTAATTAGGGACTTTGCTTGGCATGATTTGGCTTTTTATAATGCTGATCTTTATGACGGGCTCCGTCGGATGATGATTGATGCTAAAAGTGGCAAAACAAAAGAAGAATTCCACGCAATTTACTGCTGCTACTTCGAGGTAAGAAAAAAAATGGTAAACAAAAAAAAGAAAAAAAAAGGTAACGCACCTGGGTGGGCTCGAACCACCAACCTTTCGGTTAACAGCCGAACGCGCTAACCGATTGCGCCACAGATGCTACCTGGGAGTGTTGGTTATATTTTTTATTTTTATAGGCTCCAGTATGTGCTCACAAAATAGGAGTTCAAAACCCTGAGAATGTTTTTAAAGACCTAATACCAGGTGGATCAAAGATCCCAGTCACACCAGAGCGTGTTGAAGAATATGTTCGGTAATAATTAACAAAAATATACTTCTCTAACTGTCTCTTTTAGCCTGTATGCTATGCATGTGATGTTAATATGTGTACGAGAAGAGCTAATGGCAATGAGAAGTGGCCTACTGGACATTATACCTTCAGAACTATTGATAGGACTCACAGCTGAAGTAGAATAGATTGTGTATTTGTATGTTCTCTATCTGCCACTCTCTTCTTTTCTCTTATTCTAGGACTTTCAACTCCTCTTATCAGGCGATTCTGCTAATATATCACTCCAGAGGCTCAAATCTGTCATGAAGTTCAATCACACTCATGGTCGCCCCGCTACCATCTGCGATAGATTTGAGAAGTAATTGTCCTATTAATACTATTATTATAATTATCATCATAACATGTAATATAAAATATTGACATTTAGGACAGATGTTATTGTTTTTTGTTGTTTGTTTCGAATTCAATGTTTATTGTTTCTAGAATGTTCTGGAGGGTTGTGAGTCATATGAACAATAATCAGAGACAGCAGTTGTTGTACTTTGCTACTGGTAGTGCGTCCCTACCAGCAACCAATGACCAAGAGCCTTGTAAGTACATCCCTTTACACATGTGGCTGGCATTGGCTGCTAAATACAATCCATCAATTGCCAAGCTTAACTTCTGCCAATATCCTGGCTATTATAGTACATGTATATTCATGATCATGTACACTTGATTGTCACTTGTACAGTATTAATGTTGTCCTATTGTGCATGTACTTGTTTTATAGAATGCCTTGATTCATCTCTCTCTCTCTCTCTTCCTTTCTTTATCTCTCTCTCTCTCTCTCTCTCTCTCTCTTCCTCTAGCCTCAATAATTATCAACATTGATGTCATTGGTGGTAGTAACGTAGAGTCGCTCCCAGTTGCCTCTACCTGCAGCCTGCGTATGTCCATCCCCTTGTACCCTTCATATAACATTTTGAAAAAGAAACTAATGCAAGCCATTCAGTGTCAAGCATATGGTCTAGGTTAATTACCAATTACTTTATTATTATTATTATTTAATATTATTATTATTATTATTATTAATGTTATTAAATTAAATTAAATTAAAACACAACCCCTACTTATAATTTTAATTATTATCATTATTGTTGTTGTGAAAACTTTTTTGTAATTTTGGAGAAGACAAAGTCATTTTTGAAGACTGACCAAACGTTTTGTAATTGGTTGGTTGGGTAGGCTTAGCTCTAAGCTGACATGTCTATTCACAAGTGCAGCTTGTCTCAAGTTGAATCCTTTAGTTCCACTAGTGAATAAACAAATTTTAGTAAGTAGATGTGTGTTTATAATTATTATGTCTCATTAAACATTAGTCATTCCTGTATTTTTGGATATCTATTGTGTTAAGATCAATAGTTATTATGATGGATTATCATAAACTAAATCAACAGCAAAAAGGAGGGGAGATCAACAAAAACAACAATGATTCAACAACTATTAGTGTCAAACAATAACTAGTTAACTGCAATGCACTCAACTGCAAGTCACACATTCAAAAGTTTAATTTTGCTTGGACGGGGCAAACCCAACTCTACCACCAGAATAGTCAAAGACAGTGTAGTAGACCCTTATAAGAACGTCCCCCAGGATCCAACTGTTCTTCAGCTGGTCGGGAAGGTTGATACCCATAAAACCAAGCAGACACTGTCCTTCAACGTTAAGCACGTAATCCTTTCCAGTGAGAGTGTATTTCTGACCAGCAATTGTGATAGTGACGTCAGGCAGGGAAGGGACTTTAGTGCAATCAATAGTGTACTAAAAGAGAAAAATAAAGATAGTAATGTCACTAATGTGTATGAGTGTCACTACTTACTTCTCCGGCAAGGGTGGATTTAGCTCCAATGGCCGTGGCGATTTTAGTTACCTCTGCAGTAGGGCCGGCTATGAGTGAAGTACCAGTATCAACTATACCATTGCAACCACCATCACAAAGACTCAAATTACCAGCATTCATGCTAGAGAGTAAGAAATTATTTCAGATTATATCAAATTTAACTTACCCGTCAACTTTGATCATGTAATAAGTCTTAGAGGTCAGTGGGACATAGTTAAAATCTCCAGTATAGTATTTCTCATTAGGTCCTCCGAGATTCAAGTCTCCGCCCAAACTAGCACTAGTGTCACTAAAAGAAGGTCAATATCTAATAATTGATATATCCAGTATAATCCATACTTACGCGCTCAAGAAAACACCGAACATTCCAGCGTTAACGAGGTTCTGGGATATCATGTTATCAAAAAATGGCGTCTGCCTCTCGGCAGAAATGGCAGGGTAGGCCATACCACAAATACCGTCAAATTTAGCGGCAACGAAAGCAACTCCAGGCTCATGTGTAGCCTCACCAATGGACTGCTTTGTGATTGTAGAATTACCAATCTGTTTAAGAGAAATGAGCTAGTATGATATGGCATGTACTTTGGTCTTTACCTTCATGTTGTCTGTGCTGAAGAAACCAGAGGTTGCCCCTGAGCCATACTGAAGAGAAAATTTGGTACCGTTAGCAATGTAAGTGCTAGACTTAGTGCTGTCATACTTATTGTGGAGACCTTGTGAGAGAAAAAATAGGATTTTATAATTTATTGTTCTACGATGCCCTACTAGTGAAAGTATGTGTATTGATTTGATGGAATTATGTTAGTTTACTCCTACTCAAAATAAATTTTAAGGCTTGCCAGGGAATAGTTTAAGCTAAAAAGGTCTATGCAAAATATGAACAGTATATAATACTTTTGGCAATAGTAAAACATTACAACTGAAATTCTATAAATAATGTTTTATATTCTTCTGGTCGCAAAGCAAGTACTCTGACTAAAAAAACAAGTAAAAAGGGACCTAAAACATCAATAGTATAGTACTACTAAACAATCCATAGTTACTATAGTTACAGTGCAACACTTACGACAGGCAATATCCAGGAGCCCACATTTCTTGCTAGGTACCCAGAGGTTTGACGAACCTGTGTCAAACATGCAATTAAAGTCTTGGTCGGGAGTACCAAGAGAGATAGGACCGTAGTACTGGGCCTGTGTAAACAGTAAAGGTGACCCTTTATCCCTTATCTCTCTTACCATGAGGTAGTCCTTCATTGGTTCGTCATCTCCTACGTATCCAGGTAAGTTGCGGGAGTACTTCTGCTCAAGTCCTCGAGCAACATCTCTCATGGTGATGCGTCCATCTCTACGGTGAGTCTCGTAAGCACTTTTGAAGCGATAGAGAGGAATGCTATGAACGGGAAAAATAGAAACAACCTAATGATTGGTTGGTATGATTGAGATCTTTTGCACCTTGTAGCATAAGAGACTGCGAGCAAGAGTGCAAACAGGCTGAGGATAGACATTCTTTTTTGAAGAGAAAGAATAGCTGGCTTGTTACAACTTACAAGAACAACTCAACAAGAAGTCATGTGCTTGAAATCGGCTTTTAATTAATTAATTTAATTAATAAGATCACGTGTTAAGAGTGAACGAAAAAATCCTGATAAATAAATCCATACTTTTTTGTAAAATCAAATTAATTTAATGTTTAGATGGAAGATGAAGAGTGTATGTTGTCATAGATTTAATGCACTATGATATTGTAGACATAATAAATAATGTAGATCTAATTTTAGCTGCTCAATGGCAGGCGGATGTCTTCCATTGGCTCTGTTGCGCTAAATGTACATTGAAAGTTGAATTTTAATTCTAAAGAATAGTTATATATAAAATAATATCATTTCTTCTTGTGTCTATCTCTCTCTTGGCTGCATCTCTGACAGAACCACTTCCCTTTCGGCTTAGAAGTGAGTCCGACACATTGAAAATGAAACCACTCAATGGGACAGTCAGTATTATCGCACCCAATCATTTCACCAAAGGAGACCTGATGACAGAAACAGTACGTCGGCTCATTTGGGTCGACCGGCATATCTAAGACGTCAGTACCGCCCTGAGGTGACCCCAAGTTCCCTCCCATTCCTCCTCCTTCCTCCGAAAGGGACTCTAGTCTTCTCTTACGTGAGCTGTTACTCGACTCACTTAATCTCTTCCTTCCTCTTGGTGTGGCGGCCCCCAACATGAGTCCTCCATTATTGTTACTCACAGACGAGCGACGAGCGTGATCGCTGTCTTTTAGTTGTAACTCTTGCTCAAAACGTCCTAGATCAGAATCAAGGCTCCGTATGTGCTTATCTATCATTTCGTACATTTGCATCGCGAGCTGGACCTTGTCGTCACTGTACTCTTTTGCTTTTTGATACAGCTCGTCAATCTTGCTTAGTCTCGCCTTTCGTTCGCTCTCTGAGAGTGTTGCCACCACCTTTTTGTAATCCCTCACCCACTCCTCGACCTCGTTCGTGGTGTCTTTGGTTCTTTGGTCAAGGTCTTTCATGAGTGAAAAGTTTCTCTGGAGCTCTTTAGGAAGGTGTTCTATTGTTTCGAGGAAGTTTTCGAGATATATAGCAGACGCCATGTTTTGTTTTGATGATCACGTGATGCATTTGTGGGTGGATAGTCACACCTACAAAATCACTCATTCTCAGATCTTGGAACCTGAGAATAGGAACGAATCTAGACTAAAACAATACACGTATCTAATTGAGTTTCAAAAGAGTTAAAAATAGAAAGCGACACGACCACGAGTCATTGTGAAGCTAAAAGAACCATTCATCATTGTCTTGTGAAGGAGAGAAGGAGGCAAAGAGAAACATGGGGAGAGTAAAAGAAATAAAAAGAACAGCCAACGTGGCCTGGAGCCCACGCTCAATCCAGTCCATGTACTTAGCTGCTGGCACAGTTGCCCAGCAATTAGATGCTACATTCAGTACGACAGCAAGCCTCGAGATATTCCAACTTGACCTGAGCAAAGGAGGCGAGGACATGCCACTGGTCGGTAGCATAGAAACGAAGCAACGATTCCATAAATTAATTTGGAGTGGGTTTGGCCTTGACGACTCGTATCCAATGGGCGTGGTCGTTGGAGGATCGGATAACGGGTCCGTCACACTCTGGAATGTGGAAAAGATTGCAAAGTGAGGAACAAATTAATTTAAAATTATAAATACTTATTTTACATTGCATGTATGAATGACAGTGTTAAAATACAATGCATTTGTACATTGAAAAGAATGATTAGCATTTAAATAATAATTTCTTTATTAGTAGTATTTAAATAATTTCTATTTCTAGTTCAGAGAGTGAAGATGCTCTAATAACTAGTCTGGATCAACACATTGGTGCAGTGAGGGCACTGGATGTCAATCCCTTTCAGTCTAACCTCATTGCTTCCGGTGCTAGCGAGTCGGAGGTATTCATATGGGACCTCAACAACCCCTCCAACCCCATGAGCCCTGGCAACAAGCTCCACCCACTTGAAGATATCAGCGGGATCGCTTGGAACATGCAAGTTCAGCATATTCTCGCATCGACGTCTCCCAATGGACGCTCGGTTGTTTGGGATCTGAGGAAGAATGAGCCCATCATTCAAGTATCTGATTCTAACTCAAGAGTAAGTCAATGAGAAAAGAATGTTTTTATCATTTTATGTACATTTTGAGATGGGAATTACAATGTATTTTTGATTTCAGTCATAATTAACATGTTAGAATTATATACTCTTTTCTCTTCCTCTTATTCCTCACTTCATAGATTCGCTGTAAGTCCATAGCCTGGCATCCTGAGGTAGCCACACAGCTGGTCACTGGTTCAGAGGATGACCGTAGTCCCATTATCCAACTGTGGGATCTACGATACGCCACTGCCCCCCTGAGGGTACTGGAGCAACATCAGAGAGGAGTCCTTAGTCTCTCCTGGTGCCCTCAAGATGCCGACCTGTTGCTGAGTGCTGCTAAAGACAATCATGTGTATTGCTGGAATCCTAATACTGATGTACCAGGGGGAGAGGTTAGGAGTCCCTCTAATTACTGTTTAATTACTATTATTATAATTAGCGATTTCTGTATGTTGCTTGATTACTAATGTATTGAGTTAGCTTCTGTAATTACTATCTTATAATTAGTGATTTTACTAGCTCAAGATCCCTGCTATGTTAATTAGAATGTTACATTGTATATTAGTGTATTGAGTTAGCCCCTGTAATTACTGATCATTATTAGGTTGTCTATGAGCTTCCTGCTACCTCCCAATGGATATTTGAGTGTCAGTGGTGTCCACGCAATCCTGCCATCATTAGCACGTCCTCGTTTGACGGTCACGTGACCTTGTACTCCTTATTAGGAGGGGGAGGAGCTTCTGATGATAACAAAGGCCTTGAGAGCCCAGTGGTAAGGATTGAGTGGGTGTGAGGGTTGAATGTTATTATTATTATTGTTATTATTATTATTATTATTTTTGTTGTTGTTGTTATATTTGAATAGGTTGATACTAGTGATCCTTTCTCAGCCATTGCTGCTCAAAAGACCAAGAGGGTGGATACAGCTCCTTTAAAGACTCCCCCAAAATGGTTTAGGCGTCCTTGTGGAGCAAGATTTGGAGTGAGCCGCTTTCTTATAATTTTACTCTATCTCTTTTTAATTTTATTTGTCTAGTTTGGTGGTCAGCTAGTCTCCTTCTCCTCTACTAATCAACCCTCCCCTAGTGTTGTTCATATTAGTCAGGTTGTGACTGAGCCTCAGCTATTGAAGCAGTCTGATCAGTTTGAAACTGCAATGAGTCAGCACTCTTATCTTGAGTATTGCTCCAATAAGATATCGTCTGATCCTGAGCACGAGCAAATATGGAAGTTTTTAAAGGTACTTAACATAGTAATGTACACATGGCAGTATGTAGAACGTTTGAGCTGATTCTGACTGATAATTTTGGAGTTATAAGTATTTTTTTAAAAACAAGCCAATTTTTGAAAAAAAAGCAAAGGCTATAGCCCATGGTTTTTTTTCCAAAAAATGGTTCCGAAATCACCCTCAATTTTTATTACATTTTCTGATACACATTGATGTCCTTATGCTGTGTAGAAAGTTTGATCTGATTCCGACTTCAATTTTTCAACTTACGGCCATTTTAAGAAATCGTCAAAATTCTGAAAAATACCCAAGGCTATAGTCCATAGTTTTTTTTGAAAAAATGGCTCCGAAATCACCCCCCATTTTTATTACATTTTCTGATACATATTGATGTCCTTATGCTGTGTAGAAAGTTTGAGCTGATTCCGACTTCAATTTTTCAAATTATGGACATTTTAAGAAAACGTCAAAATTCTGAAAAATACCCAAGGCTATAGTCCATGGTTTTTTCCAAAAATTGGCTCCGAAATCACCCCCAATTTTTATTACATTTTCTGATACACATTGATGTCCTTATGCTGTGTAGAAAGTTTGAGTCAATTCCAACTTCAATTTTTCAAGTTACGGCCATTTTAAGAAAATGCCAAAATTTTGAAAAATACCCAAGGCTATAGTCTATTGTTTTTTTTGAAAAAATGGCTCCAAAATCACCCCCAATTTTTATTACATTTTCTGATACATATTCATGTACTTATGCTGTGTAGAAAGTTTGAGCTCATTCCGACTTCAATTTTTCAAGTTATGGCCATTTTAAGAAATCGTCAAAATTCTGAAAAATACCCAAGGCTATAGCCCATGGTTTTTCCAAAAAATGGCTCCAAAATTACCCCAAATTTTTATTACATTTTCTGATACATATTGATGTACTTATGCTGTGTAGAAAGTTTGAGCTCATTCCGACTTCAATTTTTCAAGTTATGGCCATTTTAAGAAATCGTCAAAATTCTGAAAAATACCCAAGGCTATAGCCCATGGTTTTTCCAAAAAATGGCTCCAAAATCACCCCCAATTTTAATTACATTTTCTGATGCATATTGATGTCGTTATGCTGTGTAGAAAGTTTCAGCTGATTCCGACAAATAATTTTTGAGTTATGACCATTTTTACAAAAGGAGCAAATGGGTTTTTGCTTGTCACGGATTTTGTTGTTAATCATTTTCTCTTCATTGTTCTTTTAGGCTAAATTTGAGCCTGAGCCGAGGAGACATTACCTTAACCTGTTAGGACTGAGTCCTGAAAAGCTCGCTGAAGAAGTTTGAATTACATGTACTGTAATTGCACATGTACATGTATGTATTGTAGGTGAACAGTTGGATTGATGTCAAGAAGCAATGGGATATAGTGGAGAATAATGATAAAGATGAAGGAGAGGAATCAGTTGCTACACTACCGCTGACCGACCCCGAGGGAGAGACTGCCCCTCTCTTTGACTCTGAAGGTTAATAACTATTAATAACTGACGTAGTACATGTACATGTACTTACATGTATATGTACATGTAGGTCCAAGGAGTCCTTTTGATGATATAGCTCGTGAAGTCACACCTCCTACTGCAGGTTTATTATTGTTTATTGTTGTTGTTATTATTGATTGTTGTTTTTTTTTTGTTTGTGGCAGATTTGTTTACTTTTGCTACCGGTGAAGACGGGAATGATCTTGATGATGATTGCTTGCTCACTAAAGCATTGTTGGTTGGTAATTTCAAAGCAGCAGTTGACGTATGCATTAAAACTGACAGAATGGTAAAAAGATGTTATATTACATATTATATTAGTACATATTTGCATCATTTCTGTACTGACTTTATTGCTCTTTCTTTTTCTTTTCTTCTTCTTTATTTTTCTCTCTCAGAGTGAGGCACTCATACTATCAGTTGCTGGAGGGTCCGAATTATTCCAATCAACTCAGAAGCAATTCTTTGAGAGCAAGAAATCAGATAGCACCAAGGTTTAACACCTTAAACCATTCCATCCTTACAATTAAACACACTATTACTCTTTTTTACTCTTTTTAGTTAATATCACTGATAACCAGTAGGAAATGGTCAGACATTGCCCAGTATGGTGACCTTACCAACTGGCGTGAAATACTCTCTTGTCTTGTCACGTATTCTACCAACGAAGACTTCACTAAGCTATGCGGTACAGTCGTCATAGTAACAAGCCACACCTTTATTCTTTAATAGATGTACTCGGTAGGAGACTGGAGGAGACAGGGGACGAGGGTTGCTATGACAATGCGGCACTGTGTTACATATGCTCGGGGAATGTTGCCAAATTCGTCGAGTGTTGGTGAGTGGGTGTATCGATCAATAGTGTGATATATAATTGTATATGTACTGTAGTTTGAGATCTCGTGATGGTAGTATTGATAATCCATTGACACTCCAAGAGCTGATTGAGGAGGTTATGCTACTCCGCGAGGCCATAAGGAGTAAAAGTAAAGGAAACCCAGTGACCATTGATAATGGAGTGCTGACTGAACAGTTAGGGTAAGGCCCTGTGGGATGACTCTTAATTACATATAATGTTCTTTTTTTTATTGTACATGTACATGTATATTGTAAATGTTATGAGCTGCTGAGCTGTCATTGCCATGTAGAGGATTGACAGTTTAAGGTTTAAGTTCATGCAGTTTGAAATTTTAAATCAGCTCAATCTTTATAAAGGCATCAAAATAAATGTATTAGAAAATGTAAAATTGGAGGGTGATTTTGGAGCTATTTTTTGAAAAATGATATAATTTTTAATTTGTTATCGTACAATGTAGTTCATATGCTGCACTGCTGGCTAGTCAAGGAGCACTGAAGACAGCTTTATTGTACCTTGAACAAACAACTAGTGATCAAGTAGCTGCCTCTCTCTTTTTTTCTTTAATTTTATTTGTTTCTATTTCTCTCTGTCTCTAGTCTGATGTTAATCTTCTTCATGATCGTCTTTCCCAACATTTAAGAGGGACGTCCCCACGGTGTCCCTTTCAGCAAGTCAATGTTAAACCCGTTGCTCCTGTGGTCACACCCACTGTCCCAATGACCACGCCTACCTCGACCTCGATGATGTATACTAATATGTACCAGCCAAAGGTGCCAGAAAATGAAGTCACTAAAGGGTTAAATAATCAACCCCAACCTACTTATTATAATAATATGATGGGCGGGGCTCGTCACGATTATTCTCATCAGGTAGGGTGTGGTCTGTTGTCATGACAATTACTAATGTTTTTAGGTTCCTCCAATGGTACCATCATCACATGGTACCATGGCTCCACCTATCCAGGCTCCGCCTACTTATAATCCTCCGAGTGTTGATATGTACCCTCCTCCTGGTTCTCACTCATTTCCTGGGGCTTGGAACGACCCACCCACACTCAGGCATGCTAAAAAGGTTTTTTACTAAATTGTACATGTACTGTACTACATATAATTATACCGTAATTTATATCCTCAAATAAAAGCCTGTCTTGCTACTTATATAAAGTATGTAGGTCAAACAGAAGCATGTACATGTACATGTATGTTCAAATTAAAGATAAGAACCACTATAGAAAGATTGACCATAGTGTAATGCTATTTATCAGAGACCCCTTCATTATATTTCATGATATATTTTAAAACTATTTTATTTTATTAATAGCAACCCAAGGTCGTAGCCCCACCTGTTCCAATGACTAGCCCGTTAGCATTAGCTCCAGTGGAAGATTCTCCTCATCATGCTCCTGCTAATGTCCCATCAGTTCCTCCACCTAGCACTGGACCACCTACTAGCAATATGCAGCCTAATCCTGTAAGTCATTGTTCTTATACAATCCTTTTATTTCAAAGCAAAATTGTCAAATTGAAGTCTTGGTATTTACCATACATTAGGTTGCTCCTGTTAAAGCTACAGCTCCTGACCCAATTCCTCAGCAGCCCATCCCACCTGAACATGAAATACTGCACAGTGTATTCAATGGACTGCTAATGCAGTGCAAATCAAGAGCCAATAATAACGTAAGGACAGACGATGTGTACATGTAAATTGAATTTTTATAATAATAATACAATACCGTATAGCTTGAAATTTTCGTGGAATGTAAATTTCGTGGTTTTCGTGGTTATGGGCTGCCCACGAAATTTAAACCCACGAAATCATTGAAGTGCCATCCCCTTACAGGCTATGTAAACTGTCAACCACGAAAATTAAACCACGAATTGCCCCACCAGGAGCAAACCACGAAAATATCAACCCACGAAAATATCAAGCTATACGGTATTAGTTCTTCATGTAATTGACTCTGTATTTTTTACAGGTGATGCGTCGTAAAGTTGACGAAATAAGTCGTAAACTTGATATCTTATACGACCTGATCCGTCAGTCTCGTCTCTCACCTGACGTACTGCAAGGACTTCACGCCATTGCTCAAGGTAAGAGTAGCCCCGTAGAGCCTGCGTTTACCTTAACTTCCTTTTATAGATGTTCAAGGTGTTAATTACGTGAGCGGGCTGGCCCGTCTCACCCACATGGTGTCTACTAGTAACTTGTCAGAGATATCTTCATTCATGCCGGGCATAAAGACACTGCTACAGTTAGGAATGCAGCTTAGGGTCTAGAGTAGGACTTGGAACTAGCTTGCTATTAATAATTTATAAATATTTGAATAAGGGAAGGGCAGGATATTTTAGGAACAGGTCAATTATTGTATTTTTTTGTTTATGCTTTCTCTCTATTTTATTTCAATTTTGATCATGAAATGTACTTTAATAATAACTTATTATGTTTTGGGTGGGTGGGGATCAGATAAAGGGATAAAATGTCTGAAGTAAGCGAGTCTACAAGGTTCATGCATTAAGAGAATTATTCACTTCATTAGTTCGATTATCATCCAGGCAAGTGTCTGTTTTGTAAAGAAGAAACAGAAGTTCGGAGTGTTAAAATATTTGATTGCTATGACTGGCATAAATTCTGTGCTTCTTGTCTCAACTCTTCATTATTAAAGTTCTGCCCAATTCATGAATATTCTTTAAGAAATCAAGAAAAACCCATGTGTAGGCCAGCCAATTAAATCTAGCTGTCATCCATTTATACATTACACAGATAGTTTACATAGACTTGTGTGACATAATGACTACTGAGTGTATTATTGGTAATGGGTTAATATAGGTAATATAAGATACATTTCTTTTGTCTCCTTAAATTCCTCTAAATGACTTTCTTCATTTCACTAAAAAAATCCCT